CCTGCCAGCCTTCCAATATTCTCACTGCTCTCTCATCAGAAATTACCTCCCCAGAATTATGCATCCTTGTCGAAGTAACAAAACATGGCTTAGATACTGGTGATGCAATTCTCATTCCTTCAACAGGGCAGAGTAACCTGGTAGAGACAAGACGAAAGCTTTGTGCCTCTAATTGTCCCTGTCACCCAGCTGTTCCCTCCCTATTGATGCTCACTGGCTCTGTCCTCACATCTATGACTCCCCTCACCATCCCCCATCAATCACGTCTTAATTCTGCCCATGAGGCAGACAGAGGTCCATACCTCACAGCATACTTACAATTCCATGCAGTTGTCCTGCAGCCCGAGGAGGGATCTGCTATGTACCAGTTCTGATACAGTTTTTAGCATTATTTTTCTTCCTGACCTACACTCATGCCCCAGCTGCAATCAAGGTCTCACTACAGTAGGGGCAGTCCAAATCACTTGCAACCTCTGTAGGCAAGGCAAAGAAAGGGAAAACCAAGATTTGAGTGAGAACATCAATTAAATCAATGTATCTGGATCATCGAAGAAGTCAGGCCAGGATGATTTTCTGCTTAATTCCTTCATTGCAAACATGTCCTTGTGAAATACTCATTTTAAAATACATTTCAGTCCCTCCCATTCTAGTCAGCCTCTCTAGACTCTTACTGTAATGTGCCAAATTGTGCCAAAGTAATGGGAAATAATAAAGCAATGTCAGATCTCCACTGGTTCCTATCATACAGATGCATGTCCAGTTCCACTCCCCCAAGCTGCTATTGTGGCTGGTAAGGTACAAAAATCCAGATTGCTACATACATTATTTGTAATGTATACATTACAAATCATTCCTCATTAACCTTGTCAGATACTCATCTACATGTTTCCCACAGAAGACTCAATAAAGAAGTGAGAATCTGACTTCTGGGTTCTGTACTTTGTTAGGAGCTTTAGCAAGCCCCAGATGCCAGATAAATAGAAACAATAACAGTTGGCTTGTTGATCAAAACTAAATCATGACTCATTATTCATGGTCAAAACTCTTGGCTGTGCAACAGGTGGGAATACTTCCTACTCACTTTGAACAGTGCCAGTGATCTTGCAACCAGCTGCTTTCTGATGTCAGAAGTACATTCCCAAAAATACATTTTGGGAGACTTCCAACCCACCTGACAGAGAGACATAGTCTGGCAAGCTGCTCTACACTTTGCTTAATAGGGATACAGACTGTCATGTGACTACTTCTAACCAAGAAACCCTCCGGAAAAGAAATCAGCCTTGTCGGAGATTTCTTTCGTGTCACAACTGCAATACCTTCTGCTTCCAGTGCCAGTGGAAGAGCAAGTCTTAGCATGGGTGTTTCCAAGCCATCTGACACTTTGATATCTCATTTTGATGGCCCTGCTGTTCAGAGAAGATAGGACTTAGCCTACTTGATTCTTCACTGTGAAATATTTGGGCTTCTAGTGGGGCTTGTACATTAATGCAGAGATCCCTATCAGCTCCTAGTTTTGATCAAAGCCAGAGGGAATGTCTGGACATATCACTGTCCTTGATCAGGGGACTACAATGTTAAGCTAAATAAGAAAGCAGGAACTTCATTAATACCACATCTGAAGATACCTCAACAAAAATGTATCCGTATGTAAAGAACATCTACTGTTCAGTGAGAGACAAGCTAGAGACAATATTAGGTTTCTTTCCTTTAATTTTTGCAGACTTGCTTTTTTTTCACATAGGTATGATCAACTTCTATTTTTGAAAAAAAACCAAAACTAATAAAACATTGTCAGTTAAGATTTTATCCCTTCTCCTTTCCCAATCTTCAGGAATGCAGAGGCAAAGCAAGTTCTACCCCTGGTCTGGCAGTCTACTTAGTGTTGTAGTGCTACCCTGAACTGCAGCTGAAGGTCCCAAGTGTTGCACTCAAATTGCAGGAGTTTCTTGGATCTGATTCTCAAAGCAAATACTTTTGCGTGAAGGGCAAGTTGAGACATGGTATTGAACAAGTTGATTATTTCGGGGAAGGAAGACTTAAGGAGGTTCTCTTTATCAGACTCCCCCAGCATGTGATATAAATAAGAGCCTGACCTGGATTTGTTCAACTAGTTAGTTATGCTTAGCTAAACTGAGCCATATCATGGCCCCTAAATTAGAATCTTTAGATAAGGTGATTACAATAATCAGGTTAACGATTTTTTACAGGCCATTATGAAAATGTTCTGAGATTATCTCAAGACAAACAAATATTCCAGTTGGCAAAAAGGTACAGTGAAGCAAGATTTAGAAAGGTGCCTGCAGAACTTAGAAAAATCTAGGGCTTCTTAGGTTTCCTTGATTTAAATACTTAAGTTGGACCAGATGTTTCAGGAGTCGAGAGAGAAGCAGGAAATGCAAAACCTACGTTCTTCTCTGGACCTCTAGGACCTGTTGAAAATTGTCACTCTCCCTGGTGTGAGGAATAAGACAAGTTTCATAAATTGAGACCTGCGAGTTCTCTAAAAGGACAGGAGTACTCCCTTCTATACTCTTCACTTGAGTCAACCTGGTTTTCTGAAACAGCAACACCAACTGGAACTTGCCTAAGCCTCATAGCACTGCTGAAATCCTATTAGCAAAGAAAGATCCGGGGGGGGTTTTGACAACCTTTTATTGTTGTCTCTCAGAATTATCAAGGGATTGTTTATGCTCCTTTGTGTCACTCGTAGTGGTTGCACAATGCTATTCCTGTAGTGAGCAACTGACCTATGTAGTCAGTGTTTTATGGTTAGGCTGGGAGAGCCAAGAAAAGCAACACACAGTTTATCATACAGCTTTGATAAAGCAACACAGAGATGCCATCTTTTACTGAGACTAGATTTATCTAGTTACTAGTGCATTCCTGTAACAGCCCTGGTTCACTTCAAGGTCAACTAAAATAATTTTGAGTCACTTCCCACATTTACCAGATTGAATAAAAGCAGCTAATCAGAAAACTCAATATAATAATAACAGTCCTTTTCTAACAAGCATTTTTGTACTTCCTGTTTTATCCTTTATTTAAGCCACCAAATTAAACTGAAGCTTCAAAATTTACTAATTCATGACCTGACTGCCTGAAAAACAAAACAAAACAAAACAAAACTCTTTGAATCTCTTTGTTTGATGGCCACACACTGTTTCTTTCTGAGAGAAATTACTTTGCCTAACAGGAACTACTGACAATAACACTGCAGGGAAGTGGTGATTCTTTGCCCAGAGGGATGTCACCTATCATCCTGAGCCATTCCAATAGGGAAGACTGGTTGGCCCATCAAGAAACAATGGGTGTGTGACAGATCATATTTGAGTTTCATTGTACTACCAGAATGCAGTGTGCCCAGTTCAAGCACCAAGAGGCGGAACAAGAAATTGCTCCTGTTCATTTCTGAGTGGGAGGAAGTTTGGATCCATCCAGGATGGGATTTTGCCCAGGATTTCTTGTTCTCTAAATATAGCTGTCTAGCCTCTGCAGATCTCTTCTGGTTTAAGTAGTCTAGTGTGGAAAAGCAGCAGCATGTTCCCACCTATGTACTGTAATGTGCTGTCACCCTTGCACTACAAGTGGAGCAACCAGCAACTCATTCTTGAAAAGTCTGACACCCAGAAAATTTGCTGACTATATATAGCTGAAGCCAAGTCAGAGAGTCTAAGTCTGCACAAAAAAATCTGTAGCAGAACAGAAGTGTAAAAGATAGGGCAGTTAATTTTCATACCCTGCAGATGCAGACCTGCTTTGCAAAGAAGGGGCTAGAATCCCCAGCTGAGAATTCATGTAGCTAAGAACATTTTCCCTTTCTTTCCCTTTCCCCTGGGAAATTTGAAAGGCTTTTGATCCTCCCACCAAATACTATTTTTTCAGTGCATTGGCTGTTTCCCCAGTGTCACCCAAGTATATGTCCTGCACTTTCAGGCTCCTCAGAGAAGCAAAGACCTAGGGAGCCTGCTTGTGTTGCTGGGTGCTGAAGCACTGTGGTGAGGCTCCTAACATTACCATGACAGTAACATAAAGCTATTACTGCAGTTTGGAGGAAGACTGAGGCTGTTATCTGAAGCCACAAAGGAACTGCTCCTGTTTATTCATATTTATGACATTTTTGAAAGACTTGGGGGGGAGTTATACATTGCTGCTGATTTTGTTCTAACTTAACAAGCAGGAAAAACTGTCATTCAGACTCAGTAAGAGCTGTCATCCAAAGGGGAAAAATCAAGTCCCATCAATCAGAAAATGGCAAGAACTACCTTCAAGAGAGATGTAATATACTTACTTGAGATGGTAGAAGATCTGATATTTATTCGCAGAGGCCCTTTGTATTTTCTCAGGCCACTCCGTAAGATCCGTTCAACTCTTTCTCTCAATGCTTCTCCAGAATCCGTGGAGGAGAACCAGAATGTGAGCAAAGCCTCTGCCATCACACCATCAGCATCTGGGCTACAAACCAATGAAACAGTCTGGTTACCTTCAGTCCATTTCTGCATTTCATAGCTTTTATCTTAGCTCTTCTATCAATAGCCATGTAACAAAAAGGATTAAATATACTTTCAAACATTTGTACATTATTGAGAGAAGGAATTTCCAAAAGAAATCCAAGCAAATGTTGAATAGTCAAACACATCATAGACTAGAAGCAGGCACAATACTTTGTGTGAACAAATGGCCAGACCAGTTTTATAAGGGAGTCTAAAAAGCAGTTGCTGACTACATGCCTGGGACACAAGAGCAGGAAGGAATGAACTGAATTGATTGCAATTAAAAGCTTGATATGCTGCACTTCAGAAACATCAGGTAGGTGATTAATGGTATCTAGACAGACCTTTTCAGGGGCCCTGTACATACACAGAATAAAATTTCCAATCATCATCAAAAAGGTACTTGGGCAAAGAGGGGAGACCACACAACCGAATTCCATCACTGCAACCTCTTGGAAGAATGATCCCAATAACCTCATGTTGTGCAACAGTAAATGAAACTCAGCAGCATACCCATAATCTGCTTTCTACAGTCAGAGATGGACCACAAAAAGGGCCTTTAACACCTCACCCAAAAGTACAAGCAGCACCCACACCTAGACACACAATTCTACGGTTCTGATGTAAGATTAGATGAAAGAAAAGGGAGGAAATCACCTGGTAGTAGTATTTATTTTTCCTTAAAGCATCAGATAGTGCAAGAGATGGAATGTTAGACTACAAACACCAAAGTGTCTAATCCAGCATAGTAAATCTTGCTCCATGCTTTCAGATAGCTTATCCCTGGTCATTACACAGGGAATGTAAGAGCTTGCACTGAGAACCTTCTTTCCTGTGCCTCCTCCCACTTGGGCCAAGAAGCAATGACACAACCCACAACAGGTGAAATCACAGTTACTTCATACAGGGGGAGAGCTAAAAGCAGGTTGCTCTGTCTTAAGATAGAACAAGAAAAGAGAATATCTCCCAGCTGTATCTCACTGTTTTGGAAATTTGTAATTATATAAAGGAAAAACAAGTAAATTAAAAATAGAATACAGGTAGCTTATACAGAAGTCATGCAATCAGGCTATGATCTTTGAAAGGAACACGTACCAAAATGAAACAGATATTCCTGATATCACCAGTGAAGGGTCATGTTTTATGAGCCCACCAAGGCATGGCAAGTGTTTCTCAGCTGAGCAGAAAGACACACTCCTTGCCTCAAGGATCTCATAATTGAGACTGACTAATCATATGTGAACTTTCCAACAGACTGTTTTTTCCCTTTGTGCCAACTTCAGCATGATTGCCACTCCGTTTGTTTTCCAGATGTTATCTGATCCAACTGTGGGTGTTGCTCTGCATTTCTGAGGTGTTCCCTCACCTCTCCCCCCACTCCTCTTCCTGTGCTGTGCCACACTGGAATTACCGTATCAACTCCTCCTAGCACACCACACCTCTTGAAACCCTCAGGTAAGTACAGCCCACCTTGAATCACTTACTATATAGCAAAGATCCAGGGCCAAAGGCACCTAGTCAAGATTTGTATTGTCTTAGTGAGAAGTGGGCATTACTACTAACGTGTTGTTTATACTGAGCCAAAAAATATGCACAGTGCTTTCCAAGCAAATTCACAACAATGACCCTGTTCAAAAGAGCTTGCAGTCTGAGCCCTTGAAGAGGCATAAAGCTTGTATATTTGAAAAAGCAAACAAGCTTGGGCATATACATGTCTTGCATCCTACACAGCAAACATCACAGCAAGTACCTCAGTCTGTCCTTGGGAACAAGAAGCAATGGAAAATATTATTTATCCCTATGGACTGGCCTCTCAGATCCTTAAATCACCCTGTCTACACTTAATATCCCTATATCTAGATTCCAATGATGACTTGTGTATAACTAGGGATTCAGCTAAGGCAGAAGAAGAGCCAGGCTATCACAAACCATGTAAGAACAAGGAGAAATACATTCACAAGAATTAGATCTTTAGATCTTGTTAGACCTTAGTCTTGTTGCTGTACCATGTAATTATGAAGACATTTAAGGTTTACTTGCAAAGTGATGGGCACTGTCACTCAGGAACAAGACCTTAGTATTACAGCAGACAGTTATATAAAAAGGGCATTTTCAGCATTCAACAGTGGTAAAAAAAATCAAATCAAACATTAGGTATTATTTGCAGTTGAACAGAGAAAAAAGAGGGGAAAAAAAGCCCCACATTGCTCATTGATAATCCCAACCATGGGTCTGACACCTTCATCTCAAAAAGCAGGAACAGCAGATCTGAAAGAGATATGGAACAGGGTGAGAAGGAATAGTTCCTGCAAAGAATGGCTGAGCAGGCTGGGTCTTTCAACTGAGAAAAGAGTAGAGCTTATGAGATACAAGAGAAAAAAGGGATATGATGGGAGTGTCCAGTATCACTAATTGTGTGGAGAGGAGGGGTAGAGATCACTTTTCATAACCTCTTCCAGCACAAGAACTAGGGGCCATTGAATGATCCAAAGAAGGTGGTTGTTCACAAGTAACTCCTTACTAGAGGATTGAGGTGCATGGATTTCAAGAGTCCAGGAGACAGTGGGCAAGTCCTTGGAAAACAACTCCACCAAGGGTTGCTACACAAACCACAACCACTTCAAGAAATCCCAAGTAGTAAATACCTGGAGGCAGAGAGCATACCAAGAAGCAGTTATCACACATCTGTTGTGCTGCTAGTGTTCCCTAGGCACCTACTTATGCCTGTTCTTAGAGCCACAACAATGACGAGTGGGACTTTCTGAACCAGCACAGCCCAGTTTTACTTGACAAGCCCAGCACAATAGGGATGCTAGAAATGACATCTGCATTACAGTGAAGGAAATAGTTCTGAAAATGCTTTTTATTTTCAGATAGCTTTAGTTATATCTGCTTTATTAGCTAAAGCTTGCTCAACATCTGAACACAAACTTGTATAGAATTTGGACTGACTGAAGCTTATCCTCTGCATCTAGATGCAAAGGAGGACATCATTCAGAACAAGATTATGTTCAGTTAGGGATTATGCTCTGCTCTTACATACAATACACTTTAGTGAATCAGATCTAGCTGGGCTTGGTGTACATTTCATTTTATCTCAGCTGTGTGCGTTTATTATAATCTCACATACCTCACTCTGATTAAGCGTGAACGGATGTATTTTTTCCTTAAAATGGAATTGTAAAATGTCTTGTCGATCTGTTGAAAAAAGAAAAATATAAGATAACAACAAAAAAGGAGGGAAATGGACATATTGCTGGAAGGACTATTCAGAAAACAGCATTCAGTTACAAACACACAGTTTACAGAGGCAAGAAACATAATCCAGCCCAGACTTTGGGTAACATTTGTCACAGACCTTTCCTAACCATTTCCCAACTGGCCAAAGGCACATTATATAAAGCAAGCTCACTTTTCTAAATGCCACTATAGTGCTGTCTTGTCCACTCCCAGGCATAATGAGAAGTATATAAAGATCCTTGGAACACACTGCTGCGGTCTCTCAAAGCACAGCCTCTAAAGATGGCCCACAGAAAGGGCAGAGCATGCTGTGCTCTGCAGTGCACTGAGCCTCTCTTGTAGGGATCCTTTCTGATACAGCATTTATTTTTAGTCCTATAGAAATCTATAGCACAGCTACCAGTGATCTCAAATTGTATCTCCCTATCGCCCTTGTGATTTTCCTCATGCTAGGGGAATTGTCAAGCAATTCTCATCAGAAACTGGAAACCTAGGACTCATAAGGAATGAATCCTCAAATGACATCTTCACCGGTGCCTGCTTAACCACATCCTGCTTTAGAATGAATGTTGCCTCAAGATTGCATGATAAGTCTGAGACAGCACAGTGTGATATAACATGGCATGAAATTCTGCCAGGAATGGCTCAGGATCACTGAAGGATTGAGAAACATCAAAGTCACTAGTGAGTTATGTAGTTCCTCCTATCAGCAAGACCCAGTAAATTGAACATATCCTGTAAACATCAAATGCATTACAGCAAATACTATGTAGAAATGCTTTACAACATCATGCAAGTTGTCTTTTTTGTTTGTTTTTAGCCCATAAAGGCTGTCTGATTTATATAAGTCTCAACATCTTCTGTCTTCCAAAGGAAAAAAAATTAATGATTCTCAAATTTCTAGTATGTTGAAATCTTTCAGATACAGAAACAAGCTTGTAAGCATGAAATCCTCTCAAGGAACACAGAGCTCCTCTTTTCCAGCTTTGGCTGTCATAAGATGAAGCCTCATGTCATTACACAGTGATATTGAAGCAAAATAATTTCAAATGAAAAATGCACATTTTATTTTTTTAAGCATACATTAATAAGGAAAAAAGAATAGTTCTTAATTATAATGATTCGAGCTGATGTTTTATCTTGCTGTTACTGGCAATTATTTGCAATTACTTTGGCATTTAGAACTGATGAAATGCTATGAAAAAAGATATATCAACTGCAACAAGCTACTGTATATATGCAGAATGTGCTTTATCCTGCCACTTTGGAGATTGCCAGGTGCTACCACTGCATTTTATGAGGCATACAGTTAAAAATAAAACGGCTTATTTCCTGTAACTCTGCAGCCTGTTCTACCATGATCTCCCTTGGTTATTGAAAGTATTTGCATTTTGACAAAAAAGGGTTTGTTTGGCTTTGCTTTTTTAAATTCTAACATTTGCTTATAATTTCTGTCACAGTGTTAACTGCTTCACTGATGATAGTGTAAGCAGAAACATGTAGTTAAGCAGCACTACCAGCTTTGTGACACGCAATGGCATGTTCTGTCTTTGGCTGCACTGCCTCAGAGAACTTTTGAGAGTTTTGCAGACTGCTTTGCAATCAAGAGAGCCCTGAGCTTGGCTGAAATACACCTCAAGCTTCTACATTGCTAACAAGTGAAAGCAAACTGACTTTCAGCTTGGAACTGAAGAGCTTAAGAAGTCACAATGCCTTGCAAGGGAGGGTTAAGTCAATATGACATTCCCAAATCTCCTTCTGACAATTGTGCTTTCAAGGTACCTGTACTGTCTCAACTGACAAGTGTTTTTGCTACATCTTCCACCTACATTTCTGCAGCAGATACAGGGATAATTACTTCTGTTATCTATTCTCCTGTGTGTCTTTGTTACAGCCCAAGCAGCTCATGTGATTGAGTTTTTTGTACTCCCAATATGTTGTTCTTTCTCCTTTTCTCCTCTCCCTGGACCACTTCCTAAATGTTCTGTATCGTCTGATCAGGAACACCATGTGCTGCAGCAGAGACAGAGTTCTGGTGGTGTCTGATAAAATACAGCTACACACATTGCTTTTTACAATAAGAGTCTAGGGAGTCCAAATGCAACTGATGTACCATCAACAGATAATGTTTTCAGAAAATTCAATCTGAAAGGGGTGTTAGTTATTTTTATGGTGAAAACAGGAAGCATACGATTTAAAATTATACTGACATTACTAAATTTGTGTTACTTCCCTTCTTTCTCACACTTTCATATCTCAGTGAGAAAGTAGACACTTTTCCCATGACATACTGTTGCTAACTTTCTCTTAAGAATTGCCTTACTACTACATCACCAACATAAAAAAATAACTGGAGGATGGTTTTGTTATCAGTGAGCCTTGCAGGGCTTTTAACGCCTCCAAACTTGACCTAGAACTTTTTACTTTTGTAATCTGCCATATGTTATCAGGAAAGACAGGAGCCAAGACTGTGGCCCCTTTCTCTCACCTGCTGATGAATTTGTTTGACAAATATGACCCAAATTCCTTACTTCCTTCAATAATGTTTTTGATAGCCTGAATTACTAAGAGTAATCTTTATATTCATACAGAGTTTGTGTAAGAGGAAAGGATGTAGGAAGATGCCTTCAGATAACGACTTTCAAAGATTAATGTTCTGTCTCATGTTTTTGCTGTTCATCTTCTGGTAAAGCCTTTCACATTCACATCAAACAGTAAGCATCTCTCTCTGGCCTGCTTATAGCTTTGTTTTCAGCTTGAGTCACAACCCTGGCAGGAAAAGCAACTAGAACTTTGTCCTGGTCCTGCTCAGGAGAAGTATTTACACTCACAGCCACTCAAAAGTGACACTGTCATGACCAGATACCTTAAATTTACCACTGATTAAGTACATCTCACTTCTTTTCCTGGCCCTTGTCTAGCAACAGCTTCTCAGTGACAGCTGCTGCTGCAGGCAAGGTCAATGAGCATTCTTAACCCAAGTGCCAAGTCCTGCTCCTTTCAAGTGGGCAGCAATTTCCTGTCAGCCTTTATTTTAGCATTCATCCAAACAAGATTTTCTTTATGTTAATGTTTGGTGGCTAGTTCAGCTTATTGACATCTGGTATTTACTCAGTTTAATTTCATATCCTCAATCCTTTTTACTAAACTTCTCTCCATGCAGCACAATTTTCTAAGACAAACTGGCCTTCACTCCTGAATGCTGGTCCAGCCACTACAGTAACTAATAATGGCTAATACTGAAGATGGCAAAACATTTCCCCCTGTGCAAACCCAGCCATAAAGGAAATTTTTCCTTGTTCTTTTCAGCCAGCAGTTGCTTTATACCATGATGAGCAAGATTTATTTTCCTATCTTGTCTTGAATAACTCCTGATCTCATCATTATAATCTTTTTCTTGTGTCACACCATGCCCAACCATCAAAAAGTATTCAGTAGGTTTGGGAGCACAAATTCTCTTGTTGCTCAGTACTATTGCTTTTTTGCCTGCTGCCAGTTTAGTCCTTCAACAGCTATACTCATACTACATTCTTCCTCTTACTTCACTAGCTACTTAGGATTCAAAGCCTATTAATGATTTTTAAAGCTTTTTGACCATAAATATTAATTGGAACATACCACCTAGTTCAGTGATTCTCCCCAGTTTACAGCTCAACCTACCAAGACTCCCAGAGCTGACCATAATACACATCCAGCAGCAGCTCCCTTGAGAACCTGACATTTTTCCTGCCCTGATTTCAGCTGAGGGGTTGAGGGGCAACATGAGGAGAAAGACAAACAGGAACAGCAAAACCAGAACCTGGCACTGTCACAAACCAGGATGTGGATATCACACCCTCCTGGGAAACAGGGATATCAACTACTACACAACAGCCCTACAGCCACAGTCCTTGCCCGAGGTGAAGAAAAAGGACCTGAGGAGAGTGAGTGTAATGGTACATGTGGGTCCAGAGACTTTCCCATCCAAAACCACACATACACAAAGATATCACATGGTGGGCAAGAGCTGTGTGATCCCAAATATCTCCAAACAGCATCACAAACTCTTCACAGAGTTTAAGCTAACTGGCTGCTAAAGCTGGGAGGTGAGTAAGCACCCTTTGAATGTAGTAAAATAAAGAGCTCAGCTGGATTATTCCTGGAGGTGTCAGCTGCAAAAGAGGAATAATCGTCCTTGTACAGTAGTTCCTAAAATGATTGGTCTTTGGGATAAAAGAAATTAAGAGGACTAATACATGGGATAATGTCAGGATTTAAAGTACCATGCTTATGCCTAGTGCAACCAATTTCAAAGGCATGTAATGACATGAGTGTTTCATTATAGCCATGTATATTAGTGACAGCTGGAATTAAGGTCACCTAAGTATTCCTACTCCCTGCTTTCAATTATCCATAATTAGCTTGATAAAACTTTCACACTGCCACTGAAATTTTGTCCACTTAGAATATTTTTCAGGTTTTGGACAGAAAGTCAAGTTTGGAGAGAAAACCATCTGTGCCAATATTCAGAGAAGGACTTTGTGTTTGGTTCCCCCTCCAAGTACTACACTTTTCACAGGAAAATGATGTTGTACCCTCTGGGGTTTTTAAGCAAGACTGAGAGGTAAGGAGCCAAAATACAAGAATTTTGGATAGGAAAAGAATAGTTCTATGAAATTTAAGAAAGGTCGTTTCTGTTGTATTCAGCTTACAAGTGCCCAAACACCATCAACCACACAACTTCTGTACTGAATTTGGATTCTCCCTTTTGACAACACCATGTTCTAAGCAACCACTCTCTTGACCAGCCAGATTCTGATCACCAGTTCACATCTTGAATCACTTCATTGATATAATTACCTGCAAACAATGCAGTAATTCTGGATTGTGGGTCTATAATTAAGATAAGGTGCTACCCTTAATCACACACACTATTGATAGCTGCCCTTCATTTAATTTTGAATTCCTTTTTCCAGCTC